GGGGTTTTGGGGTTCAGGGGTTTGGGTTTAGGGTTGAGGGTTACCGCAGCCTTCAGATTGAAATTACCTCCGAAGCCTACCATAGGGGCTTGAACATCATACTATTTTGAGGGCTCCTTATTATGATTATAGTATAATATACCCCAAAGCCCCATTATTGCTATTAAGGTCCCTACAATGCACAAAGTCATGCTTGGAGCAGAGAAAAGGGGGTTTTACTGGATATGAGTCGGCGTCGTTCTTGACCTGGGTCCTATCCCTGAACCGTAAGCCCGTAGACCTAAAGCCCCAAAACCCTGAACCCAACCCCTAAACCCCAAACCCTAAACCCGAAAATTGTGGACTCTGAATGAGGGATGCTCCATCAGACGGAAACAGGCGTTGAACAAAAAGCGATCGGTTTTAGGGTTCAGGGCTGAGCCCAGCTCCTCAGAGCCGTTTTTTGAGGTACCTTAAACCCTAAACCCTAAACCCTAAACGCTAAACACCTAGCCCAGCTCCTCAGAGCCATTTTTTGAGGTAGCCAGGCCACGCGGCCAGCTTCAGAAGAATCGGGAAGATCCCTGGGAAGGTGGGGGGGTGGGGCGGGGGGCAGGGTTTAGGGTTGAGGGTTTAGGGTTTAGGGTTTGGGGGGGGAAGGAAGCTGTCGGTGATTCAGGATTTTCCATTCAGGCCCATTTGATTAACGGTTCCGTTTAGGGCGTCTGCAAGGATCCAGAAGGGCTTCAGGTTGTCTAGGATGTTACAGGGGTGTGGGCTATGTAGGTGGGGCCGCGTTTGCTTTGCGTTTAGGCAACCCTAAACCCTAAACCCTAAACCCTAAACCGGATTCTGCAACGGTACGATAGGGGTTGGTCGGGTCTTGGAGTTGAAGTCTTAAGCGTTCAGTGCACGGTTTGGGCCTGATTAGGGTGTTGTGATGTAGGGTCCTTTAGGGTTTAGGGTTTAGGGTTTAGGGTTTAGGGATAGAGTAGGGTTTTGGGGCCCATTATACTATAGTTATAGTAAGGAACCCCCAAAGTAGTATAGGTAATTATGTTCGCCCCTACGTTGGGCCTTTCTGGTGCCACTGAGGGTTTATAGGGTTTGGGGTTCGAAAGGTTGAGGGGTTTAGGGTGTAGTGGGGTTTCAGGGGTTATGTGACCACAAGGTCCATGTGTTCACACAGTATATACTTCGGCTTTAATGAAGTCCCTATCCCAGACCCTCAGGGAGGATCCAACAAGTAGATCCCTTTATTTGGGACCCAAGCTACTAAAGGGTACTTCATAGGCATCCCCTGAAGGGATCTATTTTTTTGGATCCTCCCGGTGGTCTATGAGGTACTTTCGGGCCCAAGTATCAACATGGGCACAGGGTGATGGAAATTCAGGGTCCGGGGCACGCGTTCGGAGTGTTCTGGCGGGCTTTGTGGCTTTACCTACCCATACCCGTCTGCTCAGATTTTCCCAAAGGCTCCAGGTACCCAGACAGCAGGGTTTTAGGTCCCATATTCCCATATTCTATACTCTGAGCGGTTTGTTCCTAAACCCTAAACCCTAAACCCCTAAACCCTAAACCCTTAAACCCTAAACCCTATTGTTTGGGCACTGGGACCCTTAGCGTATGGGAGCCTCCACAAGCAGCCGGACCCCCAGTCCCTACATGAGGGTTTAGGGTTTTAGGGTTTAGGTTATAGGGTTTCGTGTTTAGGGTTTTAGGGTTTAGGGCTTAGGGTTTAGGGTACCTCCCCAACTCACAACAAGCGCCATTCCCCAATGATTGAAAATCCTCATGCAGATGCATAGAGTGATACGTCAGCCCGACATCTGCTTTGAGGGAAGTCGTTGGAGGTTCGGGGCATAGTCTTTCGTACATGTAGATTATGCACGTGTAAAGTA